AAATTATCCTAATTTTCACCATGCCTATGGTCACCATTCTGATTTAGGCTCTCAGCTTTTGCTTTTTCATGATTTTGCCATCACGGATCCATCTGCCCACAGCAACTTGAAGTTCCTTTTAACAATATAATATAAATTCCATTACGTTCTGACTTAAAACCTTCTGATGAATATTTGTAAAAATTACTTGTGGAATACATGGAATTAAAGATGGCTTACTGACATGTTGCAACTAGGGAGGCAGCCAAACATAGGGGACCTTGAGACACTTTGGGATGAAAATGTTAAAAGTATTTGCTGTAGGATTCAGACTTGCGTTAGTTAATTTGGGGAAGGATCTAATAAAGTATGGTTTTGTTCTAGATTCGGTGCCATCAGAAACCAATGGTGATTCCATCATTAGGTATCTAGATACTGTTTTAGGATTTTTTTTTCTCTTTGCTATTTAGGAAGAATAGTAACCAAATAGGATTAATCACACACTGACTTTAGAATCATTTGTATGTTTGCTTTGCTCACCCGTTTCTTTTCCATACATAACCTTGTCACTAATGAAAAAAGTGAATGTAACTGATGCCTAGAATCAAGATTGTAACCTCTCCCCTGCGTACTTTGGGATTGTTACAAGCTGAGCTGAGGTGCACAGCTCAGTGAGCAGAGACAATGTGAACAACCTCTTAGAATTATAACCTTGGACCAAGTTACACTGAGACCACAATAACAGAGCACAACAGCCCACTTCATAATTTTGTCAACACACAGACACAAATAAGCTCATGGTGCCATCTATAAGGTATCATCTCATAAAACTGAATACACACACACACACACACACACACACGTATTTGTGTGTGTGTATCCTGAGTCCTATCTTTGCCTTGTCATTTCTTGCATATTATTTTTTCTTTGATTGTACTTCAAGACCACTGTACAAGTTCAACCAACCATTTTAAAGGCTTTTCTCTCATAGGCACTTTTACAGAGATTCACCTATTGCTCTGATTTCTTGTCTTTGGGGTTTACTTAGTGGTTAGCACAGGGGCTTCCACCAGCTTGATATAATGGGATTTTCACAGCTGAACACAAGCATACAAAGATTGGGTTAGTGTTTTGTTTAAGGATGTGACAGCTCTGGAAATCTACGCACTACTCATCAGGGTGAGTGAGAGTGGTCATCAACATCAGGCCTCAAACTTGTGTTCTCCTACTTTAGCCTTTGGCATCTGGGGATTCTATGCATGCATCAACAGACCTAGTCAACAGTATTGACATTTATTCTACCTGTCTCTAGCACTAAGGCTCTTCTTGTCTTTGATGGTGGGTTGTGGGAGAAGTCCATCCTTTTCATGAGATTATAGGAACAGAGAGCTACCCCACTTCCTGATAGTGTCCAATTAGAGCAAAACTCTGCCCTGCTTAGACTCTACTCCATCAGTAAATCACAGCCTCAAATGCCAGTAGAGGTTTGAACATGTTCTTCCTGAAATACAGTTCCTCCTCAATCATCTTGCCCTCAACATAGCTGCTTAGCAGTATTGTGTTTCTTCTAGCCTCTGGCTGAAAGACCTTGTTCTTGGCACTTCTTTTCTGCTCAGTTGGCTTCAGCCCCATCAACCTTTCGTTTCTTTGAAGACAAGAAACTACAACCTGCCTTAGGGACTTGTGTTTAACAGCGTCTTTACTCAGCACGAATCATGGCTGATTCAGATCTCAGGGAAATGAAACCAGAAAATTAAGATAGAGGAAAATAGCAAAGCCTTCTTGAAAGTGGTGAAGAATGTTAGACACAAATCATTAATATGGGCAGAAAATAGATCCTGGCTATTTTGACATAACCTGCTGTTTACTGCGGAGGTTTTACCAACAAAATACTATAGAAAGAACCAATCTTTCACTTGTAGTTCCATTTTACTTCCCTGTAGATCTTCATTGGCTAGAAAAGTTCATGTATAGATCCTGACTTAGATGTAGAAGGAATGAAGCCCTGGAGGACTGTCCCTTGAGGATTCCTCCTCTTTGCCTTGGTGACCATTACTCTCAGTGACTCTTTTTCTACACATTTTTTTTATCAATATCTAAGTTATACTAATATATGTTGCTTGTCTTTACTCACTAGAATGCAGACTTCAGAAGTAAGGCACTATCTTGTGTTTGTCTCTATGTCCCGGTAGCTCCAATATTCCCATTTCTTACTTTGAGCATCGAATGGCATATTTTCAGGGAATTCTTCTGTCTCCAGTTGTGGTAGCTCCAGTGCATACACAGCTGTCTCAGATACTTTCTGGAACAAAGAGTTATTCCTAGCAAACCTCATCTCCAAAACTCTCATGGATTCTTTCTCCCAAGGTGTCGTCATTTCCCTCCTGCAGTCTGATTCTCTCAGAAACTCTCAGAAAATCTTGAAATTCAGCCGCACTAACTAGTCTTAGACATGCCACAAGCCTTCCAGTAAGTAGCCAAGCCCTGACAAGTGCCACTGAATCTAACAGCAGTGCTCTTGCTAGCCTCTTACTTTTATTATTATTATTTTCCCAAGAGCACAATCCTCATTGTTTTTTAATGCCCAACTGCCAGATGTCCAACGTCTAACATGTGTTTTCTATGCTTTTGCTGCTCTGAGTTATCCACATGAACTGCTAAGCACAGCCAAATCCCTCACAGTTGTATTCCCAAGGAACCGTGAGTATTTCAAGTATAATTAATGGTCAGGTACATGTCTTCACTGTTTCCTTTGTAAAACAAACATCTTTCTATGTATCTTACAGACTTCTGAAGAGGAATACATGAGCTAATGCACAGAAAGCAGCTAGAACAACACTTGGCATAAACACCACATACACTTATCTTTATTATCCACGGCTGTTTCAGCAGGGACCCAAAACAATTTTGTCAAAATGCATTGCTGTTAAGATTGGTTAACTCTGGCAGGGCAACTTCCAAAAGCTGAACTGTAGAGCTTTAAGATAGCATGGAAATATTGGCATTATTTTCCTGGCGACCTTTCAAGTTATTTGTATAACCCTCAACCTTCTTGCTATCCTGAGTTTTGGGCATAGGAACTGGGTTGGTAGCTGTTATGCAATAGAAATGTCTTAGCTCTTCCCCTATCCCTATGACATAGACATTACATTTGATCTGAAAGCACCTTTATTAGAATTGTATTTAGTCTTCTCTGGTTGCCTTCAGTCCTGGGGAATACTTTAAAATGTATTCTACATCTCTCATCATGTCAGAGAGGGATAGGATATAGGATCTTTATATTACAACAGAGCTTGTGGTTGGGAAGTAGAAAGTATCTGGGTTAGGAGTTGCTAAAGCTCTGGGTTTCAAAGGAGTTAAGAGCCCTAGAGCTTCCAAGGATTATTAGAGGTACAGGAGCTGAAGAGCTGAGGATGAAACAGACAGCTGATGCCTTCGGAAAGTCTAACGGAGAGGCTGAATTGTGCAGTGTAGTGTCTTTGCGAGGTGTGTGTGCATGCGTGCATGTGGTGTGTGTGTGTGTGTGTGTGTGTGTGTGTGTGTGATGTACAGTTCTTATTCTGTCTCTTTGGAACTGGGATGCTGTGACAGAGTTCGGAATGCCTTTGATTCCCTCACACTAGGTGCCTAATAAAGGACAGGACTAAATGAAGTTTGAGTTCTTTCCTGTATTAAGAGGAGGGCGTGGGTATAAGAGGGATGAGTCTAAATGCATGCTTTAACACATCTTGGGTGGTGCCTAGGTTTGTATGTTTTTTTGGCTCCCCAGTCTAGAGCCTGCCAGATGTCTCCAAGGCCTGTCTGACAATACTACAGGGGAAGTGATCTGTGTGCAGTGAATGACCTGTGCCTCAAACTCTCCAGAAATATAGGAGTCCTAAGGGCTCGGAGTGAGGTTGGGTTGGTATTTTGTAGCCTAAGGTCAACAAGCTGAAAACTAGGTTATGCCCCCACCAGGTCCATCCTGGGAAGAAAATGACAATCTCTGAGATGTTTAGAGCACACTCCTCAGTCCAAAGTGTAACTTGAATCTAAGCTACTTGAGTTATTAGACACTTGAAGTTCACATGCCTTTTACAAGTACATACAGATAATTTGTCTGAACTGTGTAACAACCTGTGAGGCCAGGTATTTGTCATCGTTTCCATTTCATAAGTGAGGAGCTCAGAGAAAGTGACTTGTCCCAGGTTGGTAGCTTAAATTGGCTTTGTTACCCTTTGAGACAGGTTGATACTGGTTTTGTCCAAGTGAACTGCAGAGGTGGAGGGTGGATTTCAGAATTGGATGATCTTGGTCACCAGATCTCTTATGGTATGAAGAAAGTGTAGAAGAAAACTTTGAGACAAGAATTAAATCTTTAGCTCTGTCATATGCTCGAGGAATAGATTTGAACAAATTAATGTCCATTGTCATTCCCCTAATCTGTGAAAGATAATATCTCAAAGGATTACACATGACAAGTGTCAAGTTGTCTCATCTGCCAAGTAAATGCCTTGTTCTTTCCTACTACCTCATCATGCAGAGAGAAATACAGACTCATCAATTTTATTTTCACCTATGTGGTTTTTCACAACTTAATTTCTACCTCTAAAATAACTAGAAACAGATTCTTCAGAGATCTGTCTCTGCCAAAGGCTAGACTGGGAACAAAACAATTTGAAATTAAACCTTCATTTACAGCTTAGGTCACTGAGGATTGCAGGAAAATTTGGCCTGGTGGTGTAAGGGCACTCAGCCTTTTCCAGGCTGCCTGCCCCTGGGATTTTTGCCCACTATCCTGGCATCATGGAGAATTACCCAGCATGCTTGATTGAGCCTGGCCCTGGCTGAGAGGATTACATTTCATCCAGTGTTGAAATCACTTGAAATTCCCCTTGTTCATCCAAAGACACAGAAATAAAAGAGGTAACTTGTGGTCTTGCTGAGAAGAGAACTCTATTGTTAGCCATTCTATCTTTTAGAATTCTATCTTTTATTTTCTATGTGCTCAAAATAGATTGATCCAAGAAACATTCTTTTGTTAAGATTCTCAAGCACATGGCTATTTATTTTAAACACCAAACATTTCATTTCTTCTATCAGCGATAGTCAGAATTCTGTAAAAGCTTTTGTCGTGAGATCATTTTTACTGCCTTTTACTTTTGAATGCACCAGAATTCAGAGGGTTCATTTTTGACCACGAAGCTTGAGGTTGAGGCCAAATTTCTTTAAAGAATTCCCTGTTCCTAAACCACATTCTATCACACACACCACAATCAATTGAAATCTCAACTCAACCACCACCGTTCCTCATTTTTGTGGAGGCCTGCGCTCTATGTTGCTAACCCTTAATACAAGCAACAGATGAGCTGCTGCTCTGGTACTCAGTGAGGAGCCAAGGATGCCCGATCACAAGTCACTTGAAGCTCTTCTTCAGACCTTCCCCCCTCTGGTCAGAGGTCACAGCAGTGTCATTCACTGGGCAGTCTGAAATAACAGCAATACCAGGGCTATGACTTTATACTCTGCCTCAATTCCATTTCTTAAAGCTGATTCTTTTCCATGCTTGGACAAATTTATGGGTTTCAAATCATCTTATGGAGAATTTGTCAATCTTTATTAATGCAATTCAGGGAAACATAATTTCCCTCCTCAGGGATTTTTTTTTTATGGTGCTGTGGGGTAGAATTTCTTTTTAAACAATGTAAAGGTGAGGCACTGAGTTTATATATCTTAGGATTTTTTTAAGGGATTCCATAGATAGGTCTATGAAATAAGGATAAAATCTAAAGAAAAATCTCACTTATCTTATGAATTACTAAAAACTATACCTTTCCAAATGCTGGGACTGGAGCTCGGTGTAGAGTGCATATTATGTGAGACATTGGTTTCATGTCCCATGCTAAAACCAAGCTCCTCCCAAGCCCAGTAAGATCCTTAGTGGCATATAGGCTATGAAAACAATCAAACAAGAACTAGGTATGTCGGCAGTACTGTTGTCTGTATTATTAAGCTACCTGAGACATTGGCATTGTCAGCCCTTTATTCAATCTTATGCGTTTCTGGTATGATGCATTGTCTACACATTTAACTTTTCACACAGGTTCATATTTGTTATATGGCTAAGAACTCATTTAACCTTTTATTCCACCTCCCCTTGAGACACTCTATGTAGTCCTAGGACAGGACCAGACTGGCCTTGAACTCTGCATTTTCCTGCCTCTGCTTCTTGAGTACTGTGATTAAAGATACACACCATGCCCAGTTCCCCTTCCCTTTAATAAAAATTTGTGTGTGCATGTGTGGTACATGTGAATCTGCATGCATGCTGAGGTCAGAGAGGGATACCAAGAGTCATCTATTATTGTTTTTGTCTTGAAATAATGTCACAGGACACTTACACAGTGAGCTCCCAGGATCCACTCTGCCTGCTCACCAATGCTGGCGTTACACAACCATGCTCGCAGCTTTTACATGTTGGGGTATATATTCAAATTCTCATGCTTTTAGGACAAACTCTTACCCACTGAGGCATCTCCCATTCATTCGTCCCTCCCCCGCCTTTTTTCCTGAAGGATTTCTACACACAGCTGAGAGACATACTTTAAATTTCTATTTTTCTTCTTGAGGTGTATGTGTGTACATTTTTACTATGTAGTCCAAGCTACCCTCAAACTCGCAATCCTTCAGTTTCCTGAGTGCCTGGGATGCTGCCATGCACTACCAAGTTTCTTAAAGATGAATCTGACAACACAGTAGGGCAGGGCACTAAAGTCTCAGACATCTTCCTATTTCTTCTCATTCAATTTTTGTGCTGTCTGGGCTGCCTTCCAATTGAAACCTATATACACATTCTTTCACATGTAACTCAACAGAGCTCAAGCTAGACTCACTGATTTCTGAAAATCCTGCAATATCTGTCACACCTGTAAGATTAAAAATAAAACCCCTAGAAGAGGGGTCACTCATGATGGAGATTATTCGTAATCTTGTCATTCCTCATAATGAAATTTTAGACACTTTTCTTCTTTAAACATGAGCCTTGTTAACATACACTTTATTAAATGGAAGATGCTCCTGACAAACAGAACTTAATAAGCGCACATGAAATAAGACTTTATCGTAATGAAAAATATGTATACCACAATCACAAATGGAATTAAATAGGCCTTTATGGTGCTGGGTCTGGGCCCACACATGTTCATAAGCCAACTTCTTGTTCTTTTCTCTCTCTCTTTTTTTCTCTGTTGGAGTTTATTCTGTATTATACTCCACCAACCCAGGAAGCACATTTACTTGTGGCTTTAAATGATCTCTTTTAGTTCTTTATAATCCCATTCTAGTTTTGATCTTTTTATTTTATACATATACAACTGTATTTTCACAAATGCATAGTAGAAAACATAGTCTCACTTCCCCTGAGCTACTACAATGCTTGACTGAGTATGGTCATGTACTTAAATCAGAGTTTTAGCCTTTATGGAACCCATTATAGGAGAGCACACAAGATGAGTCACATATCCCCACCTCATGCAACTTATGGAAGTTAGCCCTCTCTGACTCATGCATAGTTCACTCGTTTATGAAGCGAGATGTCATGATTAGACTTGGGCCCTCAACTCGAGATCTCTCAGGTTTACCTAAAAATAAGTAAAAACCAAAGATACAAATTGTTGGAATCACAGTACACCACTAATGCACAGATCTTTTCCAGGGACATCTGTTTCCTAGTCTTCCATGCTGTGTGGCTCTCACAAGAACATTAAAAGCAGAGCGTTACTGTGCTGTTTAAGAATCCCTGGCATTCTCAGTGGGGACCAACTAGACTTCATCCTCCCCTCATGAGTAAGCCCAGAGAATGTAAGGTGATGGAGCTCTGTGATCTTTAACCTGAACATTCCACTCACTATCGAGTATCTATATATCGTATCTGTATCACTGATCTGTTAATTTCCTATAAACAATGATTAACCCAATACTCAAGTACACAGTCAACCCTAACCACTCTGTTATTGCATATCCTCTGTTTCCAAGTATGGGCCCCATTTTTCATCCAAATGAAATCTTAAAGATTTGTAGTTGCTGTTCTTTGTCAGGTATGGGCAACAAACACTTGGACATCTGCTGCTGACTTCTGAGGATATTTAACAAAAGGCTGCTTGCTTTTCAGAGCTAGGGATAAATCACAAGACACATCTAACCCTCTGAGACAAAGATGTAAAGTTATATAGAATATACATAAAGCTATGGCACTCAGTGCCTCAGCACACCAATATTACTATGGTAGTTTGAATGGTGATAGGCTAGGACTTCTAATTTGTTTATTCAGTCTTTTCAGAAGTCAATCACAACTAGTTACAATTTCTCTTCTGCTTGAAAGGCTGTTAAATGCCTAGAAAGGTCACTTAGTATCAGTATCAGGGACATTAAAGCTCTAAGGTGGGAGGATATTTCCCTTGTTTCTACTCTATTATACCACCAGTACAAACAAAAATGTTCCTACACATACAGACACCTAGAATAACCATGTATATCCGTTCAAATGTGGTCAAGCCTACTTCATGAAACTGCTTGTGGTTTAAGGTCTTCAAAAATTGGTTCTGGGAAAACAAGGCCTCAGGGAACTACCTATATCTCCGCAGAACAAAAAATGAGGGAAGGGCTAACTGCTACATTTGTTTGTCCTTGGCCCCATAATGGCTCTCATGTGCTGGGATACCCATCTGATGAGAAGAAATGACACGGAGGTCATGGATAGACCTCACGGTCCACTGTGAAAGCTCTTGAAGGACCTTCAGGCCCCATAGCTTCTTCTCAAAGAGGCCACCATCTCCAACAGCAACAGGCGTCCCATCAACCTCATTTTCAGGGATCTTCTGTTCCAGCAGCACCATTAACTCCTCTAGCTGGTAGGCAAAGGCAGAAACCTGGAGCAGAAGAGTATGTATTGCCTGATGGAAGTCACCTTCAGCTGGGGTGAAATGCACTCTCTGGTCTTCTAAAAGCTTGGCCAACATCCCGTGGAAGGTACGGTAGGCCTGGAGGTTCTCTTGGAGTCGCTCTGCCTCAGTCATCTCACTCCAGCGATCAGTGCTTGCCACTGGCACGCCATCCACAGAATCCAGGTTGATATTTTTATTCAGGCCCTGATGCTTCACCTGGCCAAGGACAGAGTAAAACATATGTTCCATTATCATCTCAATCCCATTCTCCAATCATAAATAAACACTCACTTCTGTAGTCAATGATCCAAGTTGTAAATAGAAACCCTTCACTTTGGGAGCCATGATCTTGCAGCGCTACCTTAATTTCACTCTCTCCAATGTCCACTCTCACAGTGAGATCAATCCTTTAGAATACAATAGGAACTGGCCCATTAGTCTTAGAAATGGCAAGGCTTTTCAAGTTACCAATTCTCAGAGAACATAAATTTGTAACTTTACCAGAGGCTTGGAATATTATCATAGCAGGCCTTTAGATGGAGGCCTTTCACGAGAAAACAAGTCCAGAACTCCATGGTTAATTTAACATTTTCACAGGACTCTAGTGAATATTCTAGGGAATCTTTTAATTACAGGTATACTTCTGGTGTAGAAAATTAAAACGTATATAGGTAGCTTATACTGTTCAGAGGGAAACTAAACTTTCTCTAAAATTCCATAAGGTTCTTCCTAATCCTACAACCCTTTTATTTACAAAGCTCAAAAATTTTATGAACCAAAACTTAAAGTCTACTCTCTATCCTGGTAAGGTTCAGAAAAAAGGCAACCAAAATATTCCATCTTCTCACTCAAGAAAAGACCTGTCTCAAGATAGTTAAGGTTACATGAGTTTTCTCAAGGGAGAAGCCATACCAAATTATAGGTGTTTAATATATGAATGACCATTAAGATTAGAGCTTTCATAACTGGTTATGGGGTTGGAACATGATGGTTAAGAGTTGAACTAGAAGAGTTAAAAACAGACAAGAGCAAAATAGACAACTTACGTAAGATTCCATAAGAGCAGTCAGGTCTGAGCGAATCTTCCTTGCTAGCCAGATAGAACGGCTACAGAGGTCCCGGCGGTGCAGGGTCAGAGGTGAATTCTCTGCAAAAGCCATCCCCTAAATCAACTGTCCCAGGAAACAAGTGAGCTGGTTTGCTTCTGTCTTCACAGGGCCAAATAAGAAATGTGACTCCCACAGACTAACTCCACTGGGCATTCTCTAATGGGATTGTGCACCCCCATCCCCACCCCCTGCCTGACTCAGAGGTGGCAGCAAATTCCTGGCTGTGGATTTTTGTGCCTGTGGAATCAAAGAGCCCTTTTAATCAGTCTTTTTCCCCCGCAGTGTCTGCCTCCATCTCTCCTCCACTCAGTATTCAGCACTTGTTTTTATGTCATTGTTTTGCTTTTGTACTTAGCAACAAGGTCACTATCACACTAATCCTCATGACACCCACCCCTGCCTAATATAGTCTGTTATTTACACATATAATCTGTTGACTTTATTCTGCTTTCTACAGCCTAAATTTTTCTTTAGCATGGCAAAGTATATTAAGTGCCATTTATCAAATGGGTCAGATAATACGCTCCAATATTTAAGCTTCATGATTCTTATATTAATTCTGGGCTAAATATTAGTATTCTTTAGAGGTAAAAGAAAAGTGTTCTCATTTGATATAAAAAACTTTCCTCAAAGAAGTTAATTCAATAAACTAGACTTGTGTTCCTACACTGGTCTCTTTGGGTTTATTCTCCCCCTTCCCAACTTTATGACTTCTTTGTACAGCTTCTGTTTTGTGCAAGAGACAGACTATGTGATGCAGGTCTTTTGTAGCATCTTTCCATTCCTATCCCTTATAAGGTTAAACTTGTTTATAATTAGCTAAAGGAGCATCTCTAATCTCAATCATGGAGCCTTCCTAGTAGCTACAGGATGTGAAAGGCACTGTTTAGGCCTGTTCTCTCCCAAAGGAAACACCCAACCCTACTTGGTAACATTTCTCAGGCAGTTTTACTCAAGTGACAACACGCTTCTTTTTCTTCCCAGTCCCAGTCATACTCCATGCTAACAAGAGAATGAACAAGGTTTTGAAGTGAGCACAAAAGAGTTAAAAGGTGCTTACAGAGCTTTCATTCTATTGTACTGTAGTCACTGGGTGATGCTATTGCCTCACGTTTCCAAGTTTTGTCCTCAAATGGGTCAGTGACTGTCCCTATTTCATATCAGATGTTGCCAAGAAGTTCAAACATAGACCATCTCAGAACGAGTTGACATAGGCAAACAATAAATGAGGAATGACTGCCACTGAACTTTTAATCAAAATTAGACTATGTTTTCTTTTTTAAATTCTAACTTGACATGGGTATTAAAAGCGTTGTCAAGAAGCACTAATGTTAAATGCAACCAAGGTTCTGTCATTATCAGAGTAAACTATACTTCACAGTATCTTTAATAACCTCAAGCAAGCAACTGAAACACCCATTTGGAGTCTGCCAAATACAGAGCTACGAGGCATCTCAGCATTAGAACCGCTACCCAACTTTCAATAAAGAGTAAATAGCAGCACACAAAAGCCTACCCTGGAGGCATCTGTTTTCTTCATTTAACAGCATCAACTGTTTTACTCTTGGATGACTAACTCAGTACAACCAAGGAAGACTAGTTGCTTCCAGGAAGACAACTTTTATTTTTCTTCTTTACATACTTATTTTGAATATGATTACCTAGATTAAGAGGAAACAAGATTTTTAAAAGCAAAGTATCCCTTTTATTATAATTTTTTTTACATAACTTTTAAACCTAGATCAAGTAACCACCTATCTCTCATCACAGGAAAAGGGTCGGTCCTGCACATTTCAACAGGCAAAAAAAGCTTTTAGGAAATATAACTGCCCCATTACAATGTTCTGATTTATAATTTTCTTGAGTATATGGAAAATTGGAAGAAAGACAGGAGCAAAACTGTTCTGTAGCAAGGCTGTATGTAAGACCTCACTTAGGTTGGTGGTAGAGTTCACAATCTTCCTCCGAACAGGTGCGAGGGAGGTCCAAGTGCTCTATGACGATGTTTTCTGTGCTCATTTCCAGGACTCCCAGCCAGTGTCCGACTAAACCCTGTAAAATGTGTAAGGGTCTAATTATGCAAAAATATGCCAGCAAGGAGTATGCACAACTCCCAGAAATACCGAATAATTATCACAACTATATCCATAAAATTTGGAATTGCCAATTGAAAATGGAGGTATGACTAGTTATTTAAAAGATAATAAGATATGATTATGAAATATCTATCAATTTTTAAGATTAAAAGGACTCTTTAAAGGACAATTAAATGAGTGGCATGGGAATAAAGGAATTGGTATTGGTGCTTAGTTTGCTCATATAGACTTTTACTATGCTAGCACTTGTTCTCAAAAGAAAAAAAATAAAGTTCATGAAAAATATTTTAAAATTTATTGCAAACCGCTACAATAATTTATTGTCAGCAAACGGTAGCTATGAAGATGACCCAAGTCCCCTTTACGCCCCCTCCCCCAAATGAGAGGACAGGAAGTTTCTAATTATTATAACTAGTTGCTTTCATGGGGAGGGGAGTGAGGTACAGAAAAGAACATATTTCTCCCCGTCCCAGAAAGAAGAGATGTTTACAATGCAGTCTGCTTTTCTGTGAGTGGCTATATTTGTTGAGTAACCACTCTAAATGAAATCAGTCTAAATGTGAAAAGCAAAGGCCAAGTGTAGGATACAGATATTAGGTAGAGAAACAGTATCATGTAGAGCAACTCTGCTGCAGTCCCATTTATAATTGCTCTTACAGTATTTCCAAATCTGTGTACCAATGCACCAAAGTCAATGCACATTTCAAATCAATGCAACAAAGTCAAACTCTGTGGGGCAGGAAGGCCTATCTTCATGCCTTCTCTCCCTGATATGGGAAGGATGGCAAAGTCTGCAACACTTTAGAGGAAACAATAATGTGTTTAAGATTGTTCCTGTAGGTGTCTTCCGCCCTCCTCCCCGGCATCCCAACCAGTGACATTGGTGGGTGTACAGTAAGCGTCTTTCAGAGATGACATTTTTTGGGGAAAAAAAAATTAAGCAGAGAAAATTTGATAAACTCCATAGCTTTAGTGTTTGTGAAAAACAAGCTGTTCCTTATTTTGTTCTCAGACTCTTAATTTTCCCAACAGTCATCATGTATTTCTGGTAACTGGCCAGGTTTTCAATGGCAGATTCTGAAGCACACAGGGAGGAACTGCATTCCTAATTCTCAAAAAAGTGAGCTCAATGCTCATTAGGGTTTTAGTCTTCTGAGAAGTATAAGCATGTAAAAACACAATCTGCGTCTCCCAATGACAGTGATAATCCACAATGCATTAAAAATCCCTACTCCAAGGAAAATAGATAATTTGGGGACAGCCAAAGATATTATCACACAGATTTTTTACCTTTGCTTTTGTCTATTCAAACTCTGTTCCTTCTACAGGGGAAATATGACACACCAGTTTTCTCTAAACCCAAACTCTAGAACTCTTAATTTTGTCCTTCATGAATGACAGGGTCTGGTCTTCCACTAATCAAGAGCTGGAATAACCAATGACAAAACCAAAACCACAATCAAAACAAGGAGCTGGAATCAGGTCAGTAGGGAGATTAATGCACAGAAATGGTGAGGACAGAAAGAAAAAAATTCACAGAAGAAAAAATCTTTTGTGATTCAGACCTTGAATAACATTCCTCATCCCCTCAAATCCTTGTGTATCTCCAAAAGCACTCTAGTTACCACAAACCCATCAACCTTCCCTAAGGCTTCCAAAAAAGCACTAGGCTACTGTAGTGATTCTGTTAGTGCTGAGGACCAGCTTTCTGTAAAGGCCACTGGAAAACTATGATTTTAGAGGCTGGCTGTGCTTCTTTAACTCTAAGCCTTGCCTTTAAAGTACCTCTTATAGGAAGGATCCCATGTCAGAATAATCTACTCTCCCAGCCCCACAAAACATAGCAACAAAGACCCTCCCCCCCCAAAAAAAATCAGACTTTCCATTAATAAATAAGGAATCTCAGGTTCCACAACACAAAAACACACATGTTCAAAGTGCAAATTTCTGCCATTAGCCTGGGACTTTTCTCACTGACATAGAGCCCTGTCTTACAGTCAGAAAGACTGTACATAGGGCAGTCCCCTCTTTCTTGGGAGCCTGCTTCCAAGCAATTGAGCACCATTAAGAGCCATATGGAGGTTTAGGAGGGGGGACTGAGGTGCTGGGATCCACTGAAGGGGAGGGAGGTGGTCCCCATGTATCCTACCTTCCCCAAACCCAGGGAGTAATGGAAGAGGGGTGAGATATGTGCTGTTTTAACAGCATCCTGCTAAGGGGCTCTAAAGTGCCAAGTCAAGCTGCCAGCCTCCAGAAAATAGAATTATATTAATATTTGAGGATAAGTGTTGGTTGTTGCAGTGGGGAGAAGCCAGAGCCATAGGGCAGCAGTAGAGGAGAAAAGATTTAGATGATAGTAATATACTAGTATGAGTTAAAAGCTGATCCAGAGCACATCAGTTATAGGTTGGGAAAAGGAGATCTGCCGATGAGCAGGAAGTCAGCTGCTGGCTGGAACCAAGTATACTGCTGCTTTTTCAATGACCTTTCTGGTAAAGGCAACATCAATATTTTAAAGATAAGGGAGGGAAATTCAGGAAAGGGGGCGAAAGGGAGGGAGGGAGGGATGAGACAAAGTCTCTCTCTGTGTGAGTTGTGTGTGTGTGTGCTGTGATCCACAATGCAAAGAGCAGGCCCTTCAGTTATTTTACTAGATTTTAAATGCTTTAAATTTTTTTTTGTCCTTTTTTGTCTTTTAAATACAAAGTCTGCACTGTCCCAGTGCCCAAAGTCTTCCTTTGCACTAAGGTCCAGTAGAGTCTGAATCTTCAATCAGAACCTCTGTGGTAGCACCGAGTATATCCGAGTTCATGACCAGCCCTTCAGTGCCCCCACTGTTGCCGCTTCCCACAAAGATCTTCCCGTCAGCCATAAGGCTCACCCGTTCTGTCCCACTGCAGTATGACTTTGACATCCCTTCAGCTTCTAGCAGTAGGCACTCTCCAGATGTTGAGTTTCCCAAGGGCTCAGGAAGGAGAGGAAGCCCCTGTGCATCTGCAGGTTGTGTCAGGGGCTCTGGATTAGTGCCCAAGATATCTGTGCTGGTGATGAGGGCGCCTGCATTGGCTGCCAGAGCTTCTGCAATCAGCACCTCAGGGTGGCTTTTTGCTTTGTGTGCCACTACGCTGTCCTTCTTCTCAAATTTTTTGCCACAGATATTGCAAGAAAATTGGTAGAAGGAGTCTGCATCATGCTTCTTCATGTGCCAATTAAGGGATGCCTTTTGTCGACAAGTAAATCCACAGATCTCACATCTAAAGAAAATCCAAAGGAAATGAATGATCAAGCAGAACTCTATCCAGGGCCAAGTGAGAACTGAAAAAATGTATACACATATTAATCTGTAGCACATACATTTTATGAATAGGAAACTACTAGATGGAAATCTAACTAAAAAAATTGTTTGCTTAAGAAACAGCAAAAAATAAAATTAAAAAAAAAAAGAAAAAGAAAAGAAAGCACAGTCCTATCCTCAAATATATAGGCAGTACAAACTGGGTTCTGTGGCTTATTTCAAAAAAGGGGACTGGGCTGGGTGGGAAGTGGTTAAGACAGAATAAATTCTCAAACTAATAAGATTATCTAGTCTTTCACTTAGAAAGTCAAACAGCGATGACAACTGAAATGTTTATAATGGACTACAAACCTTCAAGTGAGGTAAATGTACTCCTTCCTACCCAGATATTCAATAGTAAGTAAACACTCACTGTAATGGCTTCTCGCCCGTGTGAATCATTCGGTGTACTGCCAGATTGTGGGAACTCTTGAAGGCCCGAGCACAATATTCACAGATATAATCCCTCTGATCTAAGAAGAAAAATACTGTGGTTAATGTTCTATTAAGACACCTCTAAGTATTTTCTACAGTTTGCAGATGAGCAAGTGTTCTGGCGGTCTACAGCACACAACACCCTTTGCAATGAGTAAATACGTTGAGCAAGCTAAATTTAACAACAGAAAGTATTGTTTTGATTGTACTTTTCATCCATGCATTTAGTAGAGTAAAACTCAGCTTAAACTAATGGAAGAAGAGGCAGAAAGCCATAGCGGAGCACTGTGCTGAGCTCCTGAAGTTCAATCGAAGAGAGGGAGGAGTGAGAATATGAGCAAAGAGATCATGACCATGATGGGATACCCACTGAAACAGATTACCTAAGCTAATGGGAGTTCACCAACTCTGGCTAGACAGGGAAGGAACCAGCATAGGACCACACTAGGCCCTTGGAATGTGGGTGACATATGGCTGGGGCAGACTGCGGGGCCACTGGCAGTGGCACCAGGATTTATCCCTACTGCTTGTACTGGCTTTTCGGAACCCATTCTTTTTGGAGGGATACCTTGCTCAGCCTAGATATAGTAGGGAGGG